AAATCATACTGTGTGTATTCAAGAGAAGAAATCTCTAAACTATTGATGAATATTTTATAGCTTGAAACCATTTTTTGATATTACTGCCCAGGAATCTCAAAATGTTTTAATTATCAAATGTTTATCGATGAAAGGTTTAAGTATATACCATAAGTATATTTTTTCTTTATAAATTATGTATATATCATTTTTTATACACAGATTCTTTTTTTCTGAACCCACTGGATGTCCCCCCCACCCCCCAGAGTTAATGGGTCATACTGAGTATCCCATTTGGAAGACAACTGATTTAACACTTCATTTTTATTACTTACATAGCCCTGAAGCTACAAAAGATAAAACTCAACTTGACCATATACTGCCTAATGTTGAACACTGACTTTCTGAAATTTACATAATGAACTGTCTTGAAGCAAGGCTCTTACGTGTATCTATGGCCCTTATTGTGTAACCATGCCAAGCTTACATATTTCCAGTTACTTTACTTAAATCAGATTTATAATCCTTTTCACAATTGCTGATTCTTGTTGGCTTTTTTCCCTACAACCAGGGCAGTTTTATTCCTTGTCCAGTGACAGACAGGGCCTTGGGCCATGGTGGAGCCTAACATTGTTTGCCATTTCAGGTTACTTTTAGTGATGTGGCCATAGACTTCTCTCACGAAGAGTGGCGATGGCTAGATTCTGCTCAGAGGGATTTATACAAGGATGTGATGGTCCAGAATTATGAGAACCTGGTCTCTCTAGGTAAGCATAATCCACAGCAGGGGAGGTCTGTTTTCTGCTACTCTGACTTTGCTGAGCCCTCTTAAGTAAATGGCTGAGTGGCTGTTTCATGTTCCTAAGTAAATGTGTAGCTCTGCTGGGCCCTGTTTGAAGCTCAGCTTCTCATTTCAGTAAATGTCCTTTAACTCTTTCCTGGTCCCTCTTGTGATAACCCTCTCTTCCCTGGGAACAACAGCTTAAAAAAATTATATATTTTTTCCTATAATCAGGTCTTTCCAAACCTAAGCCATATGTGATCACCTTATTGGAGGAAGGGAAAGAGCCCTGGATGGTGGAGAAGAAACCGTCAGAAGATATGTTTTCAGGTGAGTCATAGTAAATCAGGCAAAGAAAGTAAAGACCCTAGTAGAAAGTGTGGTGTATTTGAGGGTATTGTAGGGATACTGTCTTCAAAGATCCCAGATAAAAAGGAAATTGAGGGATCTCCAGCTTAGATTTCTAAAGGAGCATCCTTCCATCTCCAGTTGGACGCTGCATGTTTTGCTTACATCACTGAAGGTAGTGAATGTTTGCCATCATCATAATTCAAATTGTTATTTTATTGGAAGCCAAATATGGCAAATTGTTCTTCCTTAAGTCCACTTTAAAAAAGACGTTATTGATGGTTCTAGGCTAAGAAAAGTTGTCCTCTAAAACTGAACTTCACAGATCAACTATGAACGTGAGTGTTAGCAAAAAAAAAAAAGAACATATAAGAAGGTTTCCTGGAATAATATTTTCTAATGTTTATTATTAATAACCATATGATTTCACACAGATCCTACATAAACCTAGACAGCCCAAGTCTGTGTAAGACCTAAAGAGCATTTATTTTGCTGTCATTTGCTATTTAATGCAGAATTACAAATTCTACATTTTAATCCTATATATCTGGCAGAAATAGAGGTTGGAGAACCAAAGCTGTGAGACAAAAGTGTGGTCTTCCACATATATATAAGCACACAGTGATGGTTTGAAATGTAGAATGCACTCTACATTTTTTTGTGTGTTAAGTTTATTTTTTTCACATGTTAATTACTTACACTAAACCCATTTCCTTTGTCACTCTCTGCCCCTGCATCTGCGAGTTGGCTATGCTCCACTTAGGCATTGTTCAGAATTGACCTTGAACTGTATAAGAATTGATATTGAATGGTATAAGAATTGACACTCATGTGTTTTGGGAGGCTTTATTTTTGTCCAATTTACCATAAAAGTTTGCTTCCATAAAAGCAAGAAAAAGCAATGTTTTACTTTCTTGATATATTTCAGATTGGGAATCAAGAAGGGAAAACAACGAATTAGCAGCAAAGGAGCGTATGTATGGAGATATACCCCAAAATGTAATAATAGAAAAAAGTATAAAACAAGATCCCGGATGTTCAGATTTTGACAAGGTCTATGAAGGGAAGTGGGACGAGAAGCCTGGGAGTCAGATAGAACATTTCAGACCTGTGAACTTCACTTTTAGAGAAAGCCCCCCTGGGGAAAGTGTTTATGGATACAATATGTTCCAAAGCATTTTTCATTTCACCTCTCTCCTCTCTGAGCCACAGATGATTTCTGTTGAAGGGAAATCACACAAATATGATCTATTTAAGAAGAGCTTACAAGATAAATTACTTATTAAAAATGAGAAAATCTGTGATGGAAAGAACCTTTTGAATTCTAATGAAAGTATAGCAGTCTTCAGCCAGAGCACACCTCTCAGCCTTCACCAGACTTGTAAAAGAGAGAACGTGCACACGTGCACTGATTGTGGAAAAGTCTTTGACAAGCAATCGATCCTTAGTCGCCATCAGATCATTCATACTGGAGAGAAGCCCTATGAATGTTGTGAATGTGGGAAGACTTTTAGCCATGGCTCATCCCTTACTCGACATCAGACAAGCCATAGTGGAGAGAAACCTTATAAATGTTTTGAATGTGAGAAGGTCTTCAGCCATGTCTCATCACTTACTAACCATCAAAGCATTCACACCAGAGAGAAACCATATGGATGTTTGGAATGTGGAAAGTTTTTCAGTCGTGTTTCCCATCTCATTGACCATCTGAGAATTCATACTCAAGAAAAACTCTATGGATGTCATCTGTGTGGGAAGGCCTTCATTCATAGGTCATCTCTGGCCCACCACCAGAAAATTCATACTGGACAGAAACCTTATGAATGTAGTGAGTGTGGGAAAGCCTTTTACTGTAGCTCACATCTTACTCGACATCAAAGAATCCACACTGTGGAGAAACAATATGAATGCAACAAATGCCTGAAAATCTTTAGTACCCTCTCATACCTTATTCAGCATCAGAGTATTCATACTGAAGAAAAACCTTTTGAATGTCAAGAATGCAAGAAATCCTTCAACCATCCTGAATCACTGAATCTGCATATGAGAAACCACACTATATTAAAACCTTATGAATGCAGTATCTGTGGAAAAGCTTTTAGTCATAGGTCATCCTTGTTTCAACATCACAGACTTCACACTGGAGAGAAACCATATGAATGTATTGAATGTGGGAAGACCTTCAACTGTAGTTCCAACCTTACTGTACATCAGAGAATTCATACTGGAGAAAAGCCATACAAATGTAATGAATGTGGGAAAGCTTTTAATAAAGGCTCCAATCTTACTGTCCATCAGAGAATACACTATCGAGAGAAATCCAATAGCATGCTATACTAAGTATGGAACAGCCTTTAAGCCTTATGAATCACTCAACATGTGAGATCATACAGTAGAGAAATCAGATGAATGTAGTATTTGTCATAATAACCAGCCATAGGTCATTTATGATTCAACATCAATGTTTTTACTGGAGGAAAAAGTTTTGTGAATGTAGCAAATATGGGAAGACCTTTAGCGATGGTACCTATTCATCAGAGTGAATTCACACTGGAGAAGAACCCTCTACCTGTAACAGATAAATGAAAGATGTTGTTTTTGTTGTAGGCTGAGTCAGTCCCACCCATAGCAACCTTATATTATAGAGTAGAATTACCTCATAGGGTTTCTTAGGCTGTAATCTTTATAGGAATCCTGGTATGGTGCTGCAGGTTAATGCGCTGGACTACAAGGTTGGTTTGAACTGCAAGGTAGGCGGTTCAGGCTCACCAGCTGCTCCTCAGAAACCCTATACAGGGTCGCTATGAGCCGGAACGGACTCAACGGCACTTCACGACAACAATCTTTCTAGGAGCAGGTTGCCAGTTCTTTTCTCCTGTACTGCAGCTGGTGGGTTCGAACTGCCCACCTCTCAGTTCCTAGACAAACATGGAACTTTGCACCAGCAGGGTTCCTTAAGGCTGTCACACAGTGTGAATCCCTTCTGCATGTACAAAGGCAAACAGGAGAGAAGCCGTATGGCTAGATGAGGGGGCGTAACAATTTTTGTAGGAAAATGGAATGAACAGATAATAGCATTTTTCCATGAACTTTTTGAATTCCACTCGTATAATAATTGTAGAAAGTGCAGCCTTCATTCTATTTCAGAGAACTCGCACTGGATAGAAATCTTATGTAAGAAACGTAATAAAATTTTCAAAGAGTTCTTAGCTTGGTAGACATCAGAAGATTAATGCTAGAATAAGCTGAAGTATGTAGCAATTATATGTAAATCTTGCTTTGTTCTGAAGTTACTAGTAGATAATTTTACAGTAGCACAAATGAGCATATAATATGTCTTTCGTCAACATAAAAGTCCTGCATAGGAACTATTTTTAGCTAATGGGCATGTGAGGGTGGTAGTCACTCAATGAATTTGGTAAATATGATAAAGTTGAAAAGTACAGCTGCAAAAGAAGTCAACTTCTTAGTCTCTAATAAAAGACTTTTTGCTACACTGACCTTTTTCAGTGTGATACTGCTATTTCTTGCAAAATTTTTCACTCTTTTTAAGTCAGCCCTACTAAACCCTCTAGGGGGAAAAGAGCAAGTGTAGAGAAAAATTGCCCAGTTTCTGTGGAGACTTTGGGTGGTAGTAATTCATAACCCACCAGGGCTCAACCCACGCATTTCAAGAAAACTTATTTTAAAGTATCACTTAGATGCCTTGCACAGTGTTGTATGCTGGGGTATAATCCAGTTGGTCTGAAACTTAATATACGTAAAAAAAAAAAAAAAAAAAAAATCACAGGAGAATCTGTGAAAACACTAATTATTAAGTCCTAACTACTGGGTTTCTAGTTCAGTAGGTTTTATGCGAAATCTGGTTTATTTGCATTTTTTCCACAAGTTCCAATGCGGCAAGTTTTAAATTTTAGACATACTGGGAAAAAATAATATGGGGGTACTTTGAGGGCATAACCAGGAAACAATTTAATAGATTAAATGAGGCTCAGTGATGAGTGTGCTCGGTAATCTGAATCTTCAGGATGAATGCCATTTCAGTAGAAGTGTGTGTGTATGTGTGTGTGTTAGGGACCCTTCTAGGCAAGGCAAACAAAGTTCCCTTGTGTAGTTGCAACTGGGATTCATGTTCCAGGGTCTAGTTGCAAGTTTTGTGGCTTTGAATTACTGCTGATCACATCATGTGTAATAGCAGCATTCAATTCTGTTGATCACAGTTATAGAATGGTTTTGCCTTGAATTTAGTAGTTCAGGGGGTTCCATTACTTCTTTAGCCCTTCCATCAATTTTGAAAGGATTACTTATTTTTAATATCCTCTTGAAATACTTAACAGACGTTTTGTTATCTGTGCTGAGCCTTGGCACATCATTCTAAATTTTAGATACAATGAAATAGTCTCATCCGCCCCATGACTTTTGTCACTAGGAAGCTAATGTAGATCACTGTGATCAGGAGTACGTGGTGGTGTTAATCACCATCGTGTAGATTCTGACTCACAGCAACCCTGTATAGAGTTTCAAAGGAGCAATTGGTGGATTTGAACCATCAACCTTGTGGTTAGCAGCCCAGTGCTTATCCTACGGCACCACATGGACAATGACAAATAAAGGATGGTTGATCGCTTCTACTTTAGATTTTCTTCTTTATGGCATCTGATACGGCATTTCATTGTAAGTAGAATAATATTTTTTTAATGTAACATTACTTCATTGATGTAAAAAAATGCTTGTATTAAATGAACAATAAGGTTTCAGACTTTGGACCTGAAATTCTTCTACTCAGGTACAAGTGCTACCTTACCTGAAGCCAAGTTGAGGGGGTGGGGAGAGTCGTATTACAGTAGCAATTCTAGAATGAGATAGTGGGTTAAGAGTGGGATTATGAGTTTCTAATTATAATAATAAAACAGTTTACCTTTTTTTTTTTTTCAAACTGTTGTAAATAAATACGAAGCTAAATAAAAAACTATTGCTGTAACATCATAGAAACCTTTATTAAACAAAAATTATCAAAATGTTAAGCTGTTGTTTCTCAATGTATCTTTCATGTAGATCTATACACTTCTGAAGGTAGTATTTCCATCTCTTAGTCCTGGGTTGAATTATGTTCTCCCAAAATGTGTGTCAACTAGGCTGGGCCAGGATTCTCAGCAATTTGGCAGTTATGTAGTGATGCCCATGATGTCATCTGATGTGTTCAACCGATAAGAAGATTTAGGGAAAGAGGAGTTTCACTGAGGTGTGGCCTGCCACACCTTTCATTTTATAAGAGATAAAAGGAGAAAAAAACAAACAGAAATCTGAGAATCAGCTATCACCAAGAAAGAAGAAGCAGGAGTGGTGTGCATCTTCTAGGCCTGCGGTCTCTCACTGAGAAGCTCCTATATCCAGGGGAAGACTGATGCTAATACATGGAGATCACCTATGAATGCCAAGCCTACGGATGCTGAAAGGAAACAAGGATCATCTTCCCCCAGAGTTGACAGAGAGTCTTCCCCTAGACTCGGCACTCTGAATTCGGACTTCTAGTCTCCTGAACTGTGAGAGAATAAATTTCTGTTTGATGAATGCGCCTACTTGTGGTAGTTTTGTTATAGCACCACTAGAGAACTAAGATGCTAACTTTTCCCCAGAGTATTCTGTGCTCTTTGATTGACACCATGTTAAAATGGCAGTATGGGCATCCTATGGTGGGGCTCAAATCATGTTTGTTTCTTTGTTTTATATTTTAACTTTTTATTGTATACAGAGTTAAAGTTGCAGACAAGATCATCAGCTTTTTACATTCAACAAATTACATACTTTGTTTCATCTTGATTACAGTCCCCTCCCTGAAACAATCGGTAACTACTTCCTCCCTCTGGCTCTCCATTTGGTCTTATATTTCACAGATGAACAAAGCAGAACTATTTTATGTACACATAAAAAACAAAAGATGCATATTCATTTAAATGTTCAAAGGGCCCATTCTGCAAGCCAGCCTCCCTGTCCACAGGCACACATGGGCCTAGAGTCCACATCATGTTTCTTTTTAATGTTCTTTTGAGTTTGGGGAATAAAAAGTCTGAAGGGGCAAGAACAGGGATTGTAGGGTGGATGGGATAAAGTTTCCCAACAAAATTCTCATAGGACAACTCTTGCTACTTTGGAAGAATCAATGCAAATTTCCTGGCCATTTTCTTACAAATGCAATTTTCCATTTTCTTTAGACTTCCTAATTAAGTGCCCATAATTGTCTGGTTCCTTTGAGGAAATCTATTAAGATTACCTCTCCAGAATCCCCCACAAAAAAACAATCTCCATAACCTTCTGAGCTGACCTCTCTGCCTTGAATTTAACAGGGCCAGCAGATCCCCTCAGAAGCCACTATTTTGATTGGGCGTTTTTTTGAAGGCACCTGACAAACAGTAAGACAAATGTATTACTGAGAGAACGTGTCTGCAGTCAGCCACTGACTGTAGAGACATGACTAAGCACATTTTATTTGGAGTAAAGCCAAGCATGTATGAATTGGGACCCTAGTAGCAATCCTTTTTGACTCCACTTCATATGTGAGAAAACATTTGCCATTTTAGCATGCCTCACAGGTATAATTTAGTGTCAACAGTTACGTTGCTCAATCATCACCATTAGGTTTCCATGTTTTTCTGTCACCCATAATAGAAGCTCAGTGGCTTTCCCTTTCTCCCACTGCCCGCCCTGGTAAACACTAATAAACTTGACCTATTTCAGATAGTTCATATAAGCGGGATCATACAATATTTGTCCTTAGTAGTGCAGCTGTAACAGATACCACAAATGATGACTTTAACAAGTTTAATCCAGGCTGTCGGTTCTTGGGGAAGGCTGGATCTGTGCACTCTGGAGGAAGGTCCTCATCTGAGTTTCTGCTCTTGGACAATCTGCATGTGGCTTGGCATCTCTCTTCCTCATTTCTATTTCTCTAGCTTGCATATTTTAGATCTCAAAAGATACACCCTATGCTAATTTGCCTCGTTAACATAAAGAACACAACAAAACAAAGATTATAACCACAGGCATTGTTAAGTGCCTTTGAGTCAGGTCTGAGTCTTAGAGACCCTATGTAGGGTTTCCAAGGAATGACTGGTAGGTTGACTCTTCTGACTTGGCAGGCAGTAACCTAGTACTTGTCCTACAGCACCATACCAGGATTACACAGGCACAGTGGTTAGCATTTCCAACACATTTTTTGAGGAGAAATAATCCATAACTGCCCTTTTGTGACACATTTCACTAGTGTGGTGTTTCCAAGAGTCTTTGGGTAGCACAAAGTGCTAAGCGATTGCTTATTAGCTGAAAGGTTAGTGGTTTGAACT